CCGCGTCCGATGCATTAGACGGGTTATCCCTCCCTCCTATGAAGTCTGCCCTCGCAGACTGGAAAATCACCGACGACATTCTTTATTACAAGGATCGCGCTTACGTCCGCCCTGCCGGGCGGCACCTGATATTAGAACGATGTCATGACCATCCTACCGCCGGCCACCCTGGTCGTTTTAAAACTGAAGAACTGGTCAAACGTGATTTTTGGTGGCCCGCCATGGGCACTTATATTCGTAAATACGTCGAAGGCTGCGCTCTCTGCCAGCAGATGAAGTCCGACACCCATCCCTCGAACCCCCCCCTTGTCCCTATCCCTTCCGTTGCCACCGCACCCTTCACTCAGGTTTCCGTTGACCTCATCACCGACCTTCCTCCCTGTTCTGGTTTTGATTCAGTTATGGTCGTGGTCGACCATGGGCTTACGAAGGGGGTAATTCTCATCCCATGTACTAAAACCATCACTTCCGAAGGGGTCGCCAGCAAATTTTTCAAATATGTCTACCGCCGATTTGGCTTGCACGAGAAAGTCATTTCTGACCGCGGTCCCCAATTCATATCCAAGTTCTCCAAAGCCCTAGCTAAGTTGCTGAAGTACGATATAGCGGCGTCGACCGCCTATCATCCCCAGACCGACGGACAGATGGAACGGCTCAACCAAGAGCTAGAAACTTACCTCAGAATCTATTGTCGAAGCAACCCTGAAAATTGGGTAGAACAACTCCCTATGGCGGAATTCGTCCATAACCATCGCAAACACGACTCTCGCAACGCCTCCCCATTCTTCCTCATGATGGGATACGAGCCACGAGCTCTCCCACATGTTCTCCCTAGCTCCACGGTTCCAGCCGCAGAAGACAGACTCCGTACACTCCAGAAAACTAGAGAAGAAGCACTCTCTTGCCACAACCTTGCAATGCAACGTATGGCAGAAAGAACTCACGGACAGAAGTATCATCCGTGGAAAGTTGGAGATAAGGTTTGGCTATCTGGAAAAAACCTGATCACGCAGCTACCATCACAAAAACTCGCCCCAAAACGATATGGTCCATTCTCGATCACCACCGTCCTATCCCCCATCACGTTCACACTCCAATTGCCACCCCAATGGAAAGTTCACCCCACGTTCCACGCTTCTGAGCTATCGTCCTATCACGAGACAGAGATTCACGGACCGAATTTCCTCGATCCACCCCCTGACGTCATTGATAACGAAGAAGAATATGAAATTGATGCGATCTTATCGCACAAGGGAACGGGTAAACGAAGACGCTATCTCTTATCATGGAAAGGATACTCATCAGCCAGTAACGAGTGGGTTCCAGAAGGAAATCTCGCTAATGCTCCCGACGTCCTTAACGCCTATAAAAAGGCCCATGGACTGTGATTCCCTTAGAATGTCCTCCATCGAACGACTACGCCTTTGCATCCTCCGCATCCAAGAAATCACCACTGCCATGAACATCGCTGCTGAACGTGAACGTGAACGTGAAGCACGTCCCGTAACACTCCAGGAATATCAGAACGCCACCGCCGCCGACTTCGCACGGCACGCATTTTCCCCCGTACCCTCACCGCCAACCTCCAACTCCACCCTAACCCTTACCGACGATTCCACCCTCACCGATTACTTTTCGGTCATTGATCAAGTTGAAACCAGCGCCCTGTTTGAATCCGCCATCACCTCCCAGCAGTACGCTATTGAGATTGACCGTCTCCTCGGAGAAAGAGGAGCGATCTCTAGCGGTCTCATAATCAGAATAATCAGAGACGCTAGTCTTATAGAACGCACCGCCGCCCTCCTTGACGATGAGCGTCATCAAACCATCTTTCGTCATCTTCACATCCGCATTCGCAACACTGCCATCCGCCTTCTCCCTGAAGACACCAGAGACGCTATCAGAGAAGCTATCCACATTGTCACAGAGCGAATTGCTCTCGACCCCATCGCACGACCACCTTCCCCCCATGTCGCTACTCCTGTACCTCCGCCAATCCACGACACAGTTGCCGTGGAACATCAGGATGATCTTATCCCTCCTATTGCCGTACTTGACGTACCAACTTCTCCTTCGCCTGACCCAGTTGCACGAACCAAACGACGGTTCCCGCTCAAACGAAGGTCTTCCCGCCTCGCCGCCAAGCGAGCCACATCTGTCTCTCCCACTAAACTGCCGCATAAGAGATCACGATCACCTTCCCCCCCAAACCAGTCTTCCTCTGTCACGGTTCTGAAAACATCACCGATCGATAACGTCGTATGCCGTAATTGCCACATCGCTGGCCACCGTCACAAGAACTGTCCCGCGTACTATTGCAGAGTTTGCAAAGAATACGCACCTGGTCATCTATCAGTCTTTTGTAAAGACTTGAAAGGAGAAGCTGTCATTCCACTGGTATGGACTGACGTCGGTTTTTACGACGCGCTTGCTCGTTGGGAGATTGAGCAGGACGCCATTGCTCACGCTGAGCATCTGGCGCAACCCTTCACCATCACGGAGGAACAAGACGACCTCCTTCATTCCAACTACGACGCCGACCCCATCTACTGGGCAAATCAGGATATGTGAAGCCGGTGACTTCATCGATAAACGAGGGGTAATGTTACAGTAACGGTTGCCCCCTATCATTCTTTTCTCTCTTCCTTTGTATTACGTCATGACCGCACATCCTGTGCCATCACTAGACTATCTCCGATTGTTGGATCCATGTATTACAGCACGACCGCCTCATGCCATCGCTAGCTGACGTCACTTTCCTTATCTATGACTCGTCCAGATGACGTCACCTCCCTTATCTATGACTCGTCCAGATGACGTCATTTCCCTTATCTATGACTCGTCTCGATGACATGTACTTACCGGCCCTAAAGGCAACATTACCTATATAAACAGGGTCCTGTACTTAGTTAGACTTCACTTTAATCTACTAGGTTTTACCCAGAACATCCTTCGCTTAAGACCTCCAATCTTAAGTGTCTGATATCGATATTCAAGTCGGAGACACTCTCTCTAACTTGTCTTAAGAGCCTTACATTTGTGAGGTTACGATCCGACTTTAGACGTCACTCTTATCGAGTGTCTACTGTCGCGCCTATCCTAGTCAACCTACGGTTCGCCGTAACATTGTCCACAGCATGCCATGGAGATTGAATGAAGTGCTGCAAACAACTCAAAGGTGTCTCTGTCATACCAATGGTTTTCACTGATCTAGGCTTCTATGAAGCAGTCAGGAAATAGGAAGCCACTCATGATAAGTTGATGAATGAGTGTTCTTAGGAAGAGGATGAGCTCCTCTACTCTAATAGCAACACTGACCTGTGCTACTGGGCTAATCAGGATAATTGAAGTTGGTGACTTCAACAGTAAATGGAGGGTAATGTTACAATATGCCCTGTCCTGCCTTACTTTTTCTCTTTCTTGTCATCTATTGTCTCCATCTGACTCATATTACATTTACTGTATTATGTCATGTGCTGCTACTGCCACCATTAGATATCATCTACATGTCCTGCCTATATGTATGTTTCCTTTCTTGTATCTCTGACCTCATTGCTTCATTCATATTAGGCCTATGCTTGTATCCTTGCCTACTTGCACCTGCCCTAAACTCCTCCTAGCTATTCCCTATAAATACACGACTCTAAACTGTGTAGTTCTTTACTTTAATCTTACTAGGTTTTACCTGGAACATCCTTCACTTAGGACTACCAATCCTAAGTTGTCTGAACTGTACTTTAAGTCAGAGGCACTCCCTCTGTCTTAGCTTACCTTGAATGTTTGGCTTATCACCTTACATAGATTCTTGGCAGAGGTCCTGACTCTTATCAAGTTGTCTGTCATTAGAAATATCCTAGTTTGTAACACTTTGATACATACTCTGTCTTGTCCACTTACTATTCATGTAATTTGAATATGTAGTAAATTGAGCATGATATATAGTATGGATGTTGCACTACCTTTGGCCCCCTGAGCCCAACATTCTTCAACATAAGAATGGTAAACATATCCTTGAATGTTCAGTTCAATATAATTTTAATTCAGATCTAAATATTAGGTCTAGCAGCAGATGCATGTCCTCACAGATCACACCTATGCTCTCCTCATTCTGAGCCTCCATTTTCCCAGCTCAAGAGCTCGGGACAGAAGGCAGGAGAAATGGTGCTTTCTGGAATTTGATCAAGGTCAGGCACATTGACAAAATCCAGCATACAATGCTTGAGGTTCTCAGCACAGTAGTAAGCTTCCAGCCATCTATACCTATACATCTTCATCCATTCTAAAAGGTAAGCAATATGAGTTTCCACACCCTTTAGCTGTTCCTTGACATCACACAGCTCAGATTTTAGTTCACTTTTGGATTCATTGTCAGTGCCTAGGTGATGTTTTTCAGACCCACCATACAGTTTCCAGTCAAATCATCAAATCTCACCTGTCATTTGAGTTTCTGAATGAACCAACTAGCTCATTCAAAGGAATTGCCTGTAAAGCAACATTGGTTCTGAGCTGTTTTCTGCAACACTTCATTACTCACTCTGTGCCACATAACTCATCTCCCTCTGTGTTTCTCAGCATGTGTAGTGAGGAAAGTTAGAAGCTCAAGGTAATTTTATGGGTTTGCTTCTCCTGTGGATACTGAAGAGCTTACTTTAATGTGACATTGCTTCCAACATGGACACATCATCACAAACTCTCTCTTGTGGGTGAGCTGGGCATTGAAGGGGGAGGTTCAATTGCTGTGAGAGCAGCTGCAGTTTGTAGACCTATATTTATGTGCAATGATGGCCATACTCTCAGCTGAGATAATGTGCTGTCATCATATTTAGATTACAACATCTATGGTGCTCAGACAGCAAAGCACCAATTTAAAAACAAAAATACTTGGATGGTCAAGTGTTTTTTCAATATGATGGCACCAGATGCCTGGGTATATAAAGTCCTCCCATTCACTACTGATACATCAGAGCTACCTAGTTCCATTCATAGTGGTAATGAAAATAATGCCTCTCCCAGCAATGTTTCATGTATGCGTAGTGCTTCAGTGCTACATACTGGCCCACATAAAAAGGTGCAAGTGTTCTTTCTAGTGGTAAACCCTAGCATTCTGACTCACTCTTCATCAGGACTTCATCAAACCCCCTGGTACTTCATGGCCGACATTTTGGTTGGACAGTGTTTGCCTTATGCAATTATCCTGCCCTTCTGACTGCTGGTATACTGCGACTTGAAGAATTACAGGACTCTCCCATTGAGGATTATTTGGCAGAGTGAGTGCATTTTGACAATTGTCTGTTGCAGAGACTTACAAATTTTTCAATGGAGTGTTCAATGTGAACATAGGGTGTTTATGGAGTTAATAGATTCTTATCCTGGTCTTTTAGCTTGTCTAATGGACAGTGAGGAGGAGGACATTATTCACATAGGAGAACTGCTAAGTTTTCATTCTGCAATATCCTCATACTCATTGTTTGCAGCTCAGTAAAGGAGCTTCTGGTGCACGAGGGGATGATACAAAGACACTAAAATCTGCTGTCCTCAAATGGCTTATGCCCAGAGGATAGCCACTCATACTGCCACTCTCCTGGAATATCAAGTCAGACCATAGGTTTAATCACAAAGTCACTGGTAGATTGCTATGCCATGCAGGCCTTGAGTGGTCAAATACAGAGTAAGCCTTTCCACTATCATGTTAAGTATTCATTATAACACTACCCAGAACCAAGAAGAGGCTGAAGAGTGGCAAGACTGCAGTCCATGTGACCAATGGCCCATATTCTTATATACCAGGTACAATTATGATCCTGATGATCCATGAAAGGGCTTACTTAGGAGTGAGATTCTAATTTTTGTAAGCTGATTTCATTGCTGATGAAGTTCTTAATCCAAGCACCATAGGATTTCAAACATGTGTTACATCTCTGAGCTTGGTGGATAAGGAGCCAAAGGATATGTGCTCTGGTAACACTTACCTGCATGGTATGAAATCTGTGACCAAAGGCTCTCTAGCTTATATAGCTATACAGGCATGTAAATCTCATTGTACATGCCTTCTCCTGCTAATTGTACCTTCAGATCCGGTTTTCATTAAGTTCATTGTCAGTATTTTCATGTACCAACACAGTCACGGATTCTGAGAATTTCTATCATAGCATTCTTAACTTACTAGAGGATCCTGATGAGATCGAGGAAGTTGCTGACCTGATGATGCGGTGGACACAGTTCGTAATGCATCTCATCAGCTCTAAGTTCTCTACATTTATACCTTTCATAATTGAGTGTTTCCTAATTCTTCTTCTTTGCAGTGCAGTATCAGCAAAAACAGTGTGTTGTCCAAGATTCAGGCAAAACGCGCTGCCTTGCAGGAACTAGCTGCTGCTCATACCAATTAGTTATTCATTGTTTTTGTAACCATGTTGTCTTGTAATACAATTGATGTTAGGGTCCCATGTGAAGCTATATATGACTAAAACACCCTAACTTGCTGTAACTGAGTGTCAGAGGCTTAATTCAGTGTCATTGATAACAGTTTCTGGCATCAGAAGCTGTCCCTGTGATGGCAGATATGCCCTGTTGACAGGGGCTACTTTGTTGTGGTTTGATAACAAATTGTCAGGGGCTCAACTCATAGTCAATGACTGTAGCTTCCCCCATTGGAAGCTGCCCCTGTAACTGCAGATATGCCCTGTTGATATAGGACACCTTGTTATGACTTGATAATGTAGTGCCAGAGCTCATCTCATAGACAGTAATGGTAGCTTCCCCCATTGGAAGCTACCCCTGTAACTGCAGATATGCCCTGTTAATAGGGGGCACCTTGTTATGACTTGATAACTTAGTATCACACACCAGCACACTAACAGTGATTGTAGATCCTGTCATTGGAAGCTGGCTATGTAAAGCTAGACATATTGGGCAGATAATCAACACCTTGCTACAATATGATAACTTGGTATCATACACTGTCATTAATGGTGGCTTTTACAATCAGAATCTAACTATTTAAAGCTAGACATCCTTGGTAGAAAATGAGCAGCTTGATAGGGCAGTGACAACTCAATATTATACCCTGACACTTTGTCATCAATGGTGGCTTCCAACATTGAAAGCTGCCTATCTAAAGCTAAACATACTCAGTTAAAGAATAGCATCTTGATAGGGTTGATAACTCAATATCACTTTCTGGCACACTGTCAATGATTGTGACCTCTGCCATCAGAATCTGCCCTTATAATCATAGACATACTTGGTAAAATTTCAACAACTTGATAGATAGTGGTAACTCAATATTATCCCCTGTCACACTGTTAGTGATTGTAGCTTTAGCCATTGGAAGCTGCCTATCTAAAGCTAGATATGCTTTGTAGAAATTCAACAACTTGATAGATAGTGGTAACTCAATATTATCCCCTATCATACTGTCAGTGATTGTAGCTTTGGCCATTGAAAGCTGCCTATCTAAAGCCAGATGTGCTTGTTAGAAATTCAACAACTTGATAGACAGTGGTAAATCAATGTCATGCCAAAGCACATTGTCAGTGATTATATATCCTGCCATTGGAAGTAAGATTAGATACATCTGACAACAATACACCAGTGTGTTAATGTGGTACCATAGACCTGTCAATATTGCAGCTTTGGCATATTTTACCTGCATAGGCTGCCCATCTATTCCTTTATCATGTGGTCTACAATTGTGATACATATTATTAATATTATACATTAAATAAAGCTATCTAAAGCTTTGTCAAACTGTGGTCAAATGCCTGATATAGGAGACTGCACTCACCCTCTATGACAAGGCTCTGTTTATATGCTCTAGAGGGTTGGCCACCCATCCTTGGAACACTAGGGAGAAGCCCCCTGGAGGAGGGGGTCTCTCAGACTATATATTCACTACATAATAATAGGGTCTGACAGTACATGAGAACATCATCAAAGTGCTGCCAAGGGTAGTGTTCCAAAGATGGGTGGCCAACCCTCTAGAGCATATGAACAGAGCCTCATCACAGAGGGTGAGTTCAGCCTCCTAGTATGTTCTCTGGGGAGCTTCAACATAACAGCTTCTCCAGGTGCTCATTGCATGCCTTCCAGATCCCTGTGTCAGCATCTCTGTATGTTCCCACAATGTTGGTAAGCCTCTCATATGTATATGTTTTTCATACTTCCAGACTTTGAATGTTATATTTTATTTCTCTCTCTCTTATTCCTATTGTCCAAATGAGTCATTCAGACAAAACAATGTGCATTGAATGCAGATGCCCGAAATTGAGGTACATGGTGATATATAACATGTGTGGCAGAGGTGCTAAGTACAATAGATATAACTAACTGCACAAGTTGCAGACAAGGCTCATGAGCTTAAGGTGCTCATCCACCATTGTCCAAGTCATTAGGAGACTCACACCCATAACCATGCTGATACATCCCTCCAGCACTATGACACACAGCACTCACTGGGTGCCAATAGTCCTCACAGTATTTATAACCATCTTGAGGGTTGTGGTAGGGACCCTTATGATACCTGCTGTTGTAAGGATAAGTTGGTCCCACCTGGTGTTCATGTTCACCATACTGCAGAGGAGGCTGAGGACTATGTGTGGGCTGAGTGTGCCCACCAAATTAAGGGGCATGAGACATGTGTGGATCATGATAATTGTGTATATAGTCTGATGGTAGGTATCAGGTGAAGCTGCAGCCAGGTCCTTGGAGGTGATTCTCACTGTGAGGGTCGTTCCACTATGGGGATAGATAATGCAGCTGCATCTGAGCTCTCTGGCATGGGGCATGCATCCAAGCATCAGCATGGAAGTTGTGTGGTCTACAGTGATGCTCACTGGAGTCACCATCTTGTGGAATGTCCATGCTGTCTGCTTCTGGATGGCACCCATGATGAGCTGTCAAAAGATGACATCACATACTGTTTGAGAGTGAGACATGGCTGTGATATTATCAGCATGGGGAAAGTAGCTCAAAGGATGACATTATGCACTCTCTGAGAGCAGGACATGGCTGTAAGCCCCAGTGATGTTCCAGCTTGGCCTGAAAGCCATGGCTTTGGCCTGGCTTTAGGTGGCTCTGGCTGTGAAGAACTGCAGGCCAGGCCAAAGCTGTCAATGACAGCTTGTTTTTGGCCTGGCTTAGCCTGAGCTGCAGTCCAATACAGGTAAGTGAGAACACAATGAGTAGCAACAGGTAGTGATTATCAAGATATGACCTTTATATGTACTTAACCTTTTTCCTTTTACATACACAATCACTCCTCCTACCATGCATCATACACGTTCCCCATTGATTCTCCATCTCAATCAAACATATTAATTCCTCTCTTTGTTGAATAATCTCCCTCAGTCTTTCAATCCAAGACTGAGGTGAGCTTTCTTATTAACAATTCTACTCTACCCTTACTAACTACTACTCTACTAAGTCTGTTCCCATCCTTAGGTATGATCCATAGTTAATCTCAGTCTTTTGATCCAAGACTGAGTCCATTCCCGTCCTTAGTTCCTTAGTCTGAGTCTTGTCACCTCTCACAGTGATGAGTAGTCAAGCTTACCAGAGAGGTTGTTTGGATTGGTGTTGATATCTTGGGTGAGTAGTTCCTCAGTGGTAGATCAGTCTCCATTTAGACATGCAATACAGGCAGTCATGATGGCTAGGATCTGCATGAAACATGCTTGAATTGTGTGTGGTATTGTCATATGACTGCATTGTGATGACCTGAAAAAGATGTAGGCAGCAACTCCAAAACATAACATATAGCAAACCTGCAGATAAAATTCACATGATGTATTGAGATTATGATTGTATGCAGTAAGGCCACTAGTCCAAACAGATGTGAATTCAGTTGAACCTGAGAGATAGAAAATACATATGCCTCTTTCAACTGTTTTGCTTGCTCTGGAGTGAGGGTACCAAGAGTCATGGAGATTTCCATCCCCATACCCCAGACCTCTGGAACCATTTGAAGAATTCTTTCAAACCCTCTCCTGTGTCCTGTGAGGTCCCTCCATGCTGCACCCATGCAAAACCTTGTGCTTCCATTCTCTTTGACTTTTCATGCTACTTCAATGACAGGTTCGATATTAGCAAATGTGAAGCCTCTGTTGGAGTGGAATATCTGGGTGACTGAGAACAGTACAAGCTGAGTGAATGAGTCAGTATCGTTATTCAGTAGTACAATAGGCTCCTTACAGTCCTCAGAACATCCACCAGCTATAATGCAACATTCAGGGCAATGATAGAGGGGATAGAGTGGGAACAAAGTGCACTCTTGATATTCATAAGTGTGCATAGTTGGATCTTGCTAGGGTCATGATTCTGACAATGGGTGCTACTTGTACAGAAGATGGAATAGAGTGGGGCTAGTTGTTCACTTTCCATAGGGTCCATCTCGGAGATGTGTAGATGTTAGAACAAGGGCAATGAGATGAGCTGAATAATAGTAAGCTTCAAGTTGGAGAATTTGGAGGTACATAAGGTCATGTGACAAGACACATCACATTGTGAATGTATCAACAGAGATGCATGTGTGCCCAATTCAAGAGCTCATCTCACCTTATGAATCCTCCTCAGTACTGAGTCTTTGAGAATCACCATGTAATGGCATGACAACATGACATGAATCACCTGTAGAACACTGGATGTGGATCAACTTCAGGTGCCTGGGCCTGTGCTATGGCTGGCAAGGGCATCTCACAAGGCTTGTGAGATGCTCTCAAGAGGTTTAAGCAGCCAATCAAGTAACAAATAAAACTCCAACTAAAACATAAAACATTGATTATGGACTGGATACTGATGATAACAGCATCTGGAATGGTCTGGAATAATAGCACAGCAGTCCCTACATATAATAAGACCACCATTGAGTACTATTGTAAGGCAAATGCTACACTTTGCATGAAAATTGCAGTGCAATGGGTCATTCACTCTACATGATTCTACTAAGAAGGTTGATCACATATGGTTGGACTGAAACCAATCTTATGCTCGCAACTTTACTATCTACTTCAATTTCTTTGCTGTCCAGCTTTCTGTTGCATACAACAACTGTAGTAGAGACTGTTCACATACTGTAATATTTCAGCTACTAGTAGGAATTGGTGCAGGTATAAATCATTATCAAAGTTACTTATTTCCAAGTACATGAGTACAATACTACAGGCATGATGAAGGAGATGCAAGACATTTAATAAGGGGGAACACTACCGCTTGACATGTCATCTTGAGCAACTCACTAACTATCAGAAGATAAAACAAGGCCTCACAACTTTTCATTGGTGCAGGAGTAGTGTTCTTTGATATATGTACCACATCTTTGCACTCGTGGTCTTGCCCATTTTTTTGGTGTGGTCATGGCATGCTGAAGGTATCAACAACTCTGCTGGCTTGC